TGTGTGTGTGTGTGTGTGTGTGTGTGTGTGTGTGTGCCTGGAGAAAGGTCCCAGTTGTCGGCAAAGCTATTTTTGAGCAACGGGGAGAATAGACAAAATAAAAGCCGCACCTGGTCAGAAATTTAATTCCATCACATAGATCTAACACACATTCGATAATTTCTTGAATAATAGAATTTTGAAAAGAATTTATTAAGGCCACTGGCCAATCACCACAACGTTGACCATCAAAAAAAGAAAGAGAACGAAAAAGCTATAAAAGACAGCAAGAGAGACTAAATATGCATAAACTCGGAGATGATCAGGTGCAGGCTCAGACCAGATGCACCCTAAATGAAAAGCTAGGCTCTATCAACTCTACAATACTAACCGTATAGGAAGCTTGGGACACCTCCAAAACAACTCTGCTGGACACTATGAAAAAAGTCTGTTGTACCAAGAAGAGAAGAGGAATACACAGAAAAGCAACAACCTGGTGGAACGAAGAAGTTAAGGATGCTATCAGGGGAAAAATAGACTGTATAATGTATGTGTGAAGTAAAAAAAAAACCGAAGAAGACTTCATTAAATATACACTTACAAGAAGACACAGCAAGAAAGTCGTTATAACATCAAAAGAAAAGTCAAGGACCCAGTATGGCGAAAAGCTAAGTGAAACCGGCAAGACCTCACCAAGAGAGTTCTACAAGAAGGTGAAGACAATGAGAGTGAGAGACGAACCCTATGTACCCACCACTGTCATCAACGATACTAATGGAGAAGCTCTACACCAAGAGAGTTCTACAAGAAGGTGAAGACAATGAGAGTGAGAGACGAACCCTATGTACCCACCACTGTCATCAACGATACTAATGGAGAAGCTCTACACCAAGAGAGTTCTACAAGAAGGTGAAGACAATGAGAGTGAGAGACGAACCCTATGTACCCACCACTGTTACCAACGATACTAACGGAGAAGCTCTACACGAAGAGAAGGTAATAATAAAGAGATGGGAAGAACTTTTCAAGAACTACTAAACCCATCAGGAGTACTGGCACAAAACATACAGTGCCCCTTCACCGCCAACTACCCAGAGCACTCAGAACTTACCATCCTGGAGAGTGAAGTGAGAGAAGCACAAAAGACTAGTCCAAAGAACAAGGCAGCTGGTGACGATGGCATCACAACCGAAGTCATCCTTTCATGCGGTGAAACCGGAATACATTGGCTTACAATCATCTCCCAGAAAGCCTGGAAAGAGAGAAAAGTACCAGCAGAATGGCAAAATGCGATAGTGGTGCCATTTTGGAAGAAAAGGGGCAGGAAGAAAGACTGCGACACATACAGAGGCATTTCTCTTCTCAGCCTTGCAGGGAAAATGTATGCAAAGATCCTAGAGCGACGCACTCGCGCAAAAGCCGAACATCTTCTCAGTGACGCCCAGTTTGGTTTTAGAAAAGGAAGAGGGTGCACTGATGCAATTTTCGCACTCCGACAACTGTGTGAGAGGGCTTTGGAATACGACCAAGATACCCATCTCGTATTTGTGGATCAAGGAAAAGCCTTTCATCGAGTAAATAGAAACAAGCTATGGAAGATCCTGGAACAGTACGACATCAAAGGACGACTGCTAGACAACATCAGGGCTATCTATGCAAACAGCAGAAGTTCAGTCCGCACTACGAGTGGAACATCGGACTGGTTTCCAGTAACATCCTGGGTCAGACAGGGCTGCAATCTCTCCCCTTTGCTCTTCGTGATCTATGTAGACCAGATTACAAAGGAGGCTAATCCAGACTCAGAGGCACTCAACGAATTCATGTTTGCAGACGACCTGGCAATGGTGAACAACAAGACCCAGCTACAGGAGCATATGAACCAACTAAATGCTAGCTGCGAGAAATATGACATGAAGATCAGTATTAGCAAGACCAAAGTCATGACAATTAGTAGGAGACAAGACAAAGTGGATACCAACATCAATGGATCCCAACTAAAACAAAGCAGCGAATTCAAATACTCGGTCAGCATTTTCACAGAAAATGGAAAATTAGATCAAGAAATAGAGACTAGATGCCAGAAAGCCATCGCAGTCAGCTATCAACTGGACCTTCTCCTGAAACATCCCAATATCCCTATGAACACCAAGGCGTAGCTCATCAACGCCATTTTCCTTTCAACTCTCACATATCAGTGCCAGACATGGTCCCTAACAAAGGCCCTAGCGAGGAGACTGGTCACATGCGAGATGAAATGCTTAAGAACAAGAAGAGACAAAATAAAAAATGCATTCATAAGGAACACCGTAGGAGCAACATCAGTCCTACCACACATTGAAAAACAAAAGGTCAAGTGGTTCGGACACCTCACGCAGATGCCCTCAAACTAACCAGCTCTGGGAGCATACACGATTAAATATTCTGGATGGAGAGCCAGAGGAAGACCAAGGCGACGATGGAGTGAACATGTGGCAGACACCCTCAGAGCTCACGGGATGTCCCTCCTACAGGCCACTCGTCATGCTGCAGACAAACGCCTGTGTCTCCCCGTGACACTCACCGGTACAAGGGGAAGAAACAAGTTTTAAAAGTAAAGAAAGAAAATATTTTTATCAAATTGTAAGTTTAAATATGTTTTCAATTAATTTTTCTTTTGCCACACTTTGTACTTCACCATCAAAATAGATGGCGAGAGCTGGTTTTCAGATGCAGTGGTGCCCCCACGGTTGCCTCAACCACGGGATAGAAGAAGAAGAGAAAGAAGTACTTCACCAAATATTTTTAAAATGTGCTAGAAATTGAGTTTTACTCCAAACTTTGTTTTTACACCATGTGTTACAAAATGCGGCTATCTTTAAAAATACTCAATATATTTGAAAACAAATCTGCTACAAGAACATGCCCTTATTTCAAAATCCAAAATTTCTTACAACTTGGACCTTTCTCCAGACACACACACATAATATGCACTCTCATTACAAACTTTTGATACTTTCACAAAATGCACAGTTTAGCACCAGTGTCGAATGTAAAAAAGAGTTGTTGCGCTGTAGATCAAAATACAATATTTCTGTTTCAAGCTGTGGACTCCGTAAAATTTGGTAAATTCGATGCTGTTTTTCTTTCCCTGTAACAATAATATGGATCCTGAACGTCAAAAGTTCACCCTGAGTCTAAAGTGCGTGTGTTTCAGAAACATGATAGTGTTTAGTCTGTACAAGATCTAGATTCTAGATATCTATGCGTTGCAGCCGGTGGTAGATCTAGAATCTAGTCTACATCTAGATTCTATATCTAAATCTAGATAACTATAACTTCTTTTGCAGCTGAAGTATTGCTTGTGAAAAAGCTGATTCTAATGAGATTAAGTCATCCTATGGCATGTTTGAAGTGCTTTTGTAGACAATCATTGAACTGGTTTTGATCAACACGAGATGGTAACGATGCAGAATCCCTTAACTCTTAGTGCATTATGTAGCGTTTTGGTCGTGCTTCAATATATTTCACCTTCTCATTCCACTGACAGCAGAGCTCTTGTTGTTAACTCCGAACGTTGGCCTACTGGTAGAACCTCTGATGATGTAGGACATTATGCGGGATCCAATTATGCTCAGAACGAACTTTCGAAACAAGCAAGAAACCGCAAAACCTGGAGGCTCGTCAATGAAGTGTCACCTCTGAGGCACAGTCAACCTCTTAAGAAACATTCCTTGCATTATGCTGAAATTGATAGCGGGGGATACTTGTTAAGAGCAATGTTGGGAAAACATCATGATTATAGAGATGTGAAAACGCCGCGTCTTTTCTTGAACAGTATTTCTCATTCAGTCAGAAAGTCCTATTCCTACCAAATGCCCGAAAGGAAGGACAACAACAACCAAATGCCAGAAGTCGGAGCAAGAAATAATTTTGTTGTTGCCATGGTCAGAGAAAGAGGACTTGACACAGAGTCTACACTCCTAGCAAATCGTGCCCAGTCATTGTACGGCTTGGAAAAGAATGTTGCTAGTCGACTGAGGAAACATCTTCCTAGTCACGTGCCACCAGGTCACCTTGTATTTGATCACGCTGCAGCCGATCATGTTGTATCTGGACACGTTGCATCTGGTCATACCGATTATGGTCACGCTGTTTCAGTTTATCCTGTTTCTAGTCACATTGCACCTGGTCACACTGTACGTGGTCAGGTTGCACAGGAAAACGTGGCACCTGGTCACGCTGTTCATGGTCACGTAGCACCTGGTCACGCTGTTTATGGTTACGTGGCGCCTGGTCACATTGTACCCAGCATACCCAAGTTCCAGACTGTGCCAGGTACGCATTATGCAATACTGAAAAGATTTCACCGAGTTAGAAAAGTACATCCGATGTATCAGCAGAATATGAAGGCGAAGATCATTCAGTTTATAACTAAACACAGAGCAAATCTAATTCGTAGCTCTTTACTACAACTTCTAATAGGAATTACAATGCAATTTCATGGAATTGAACATCTGAGACACTCGCAACGGCGCAGCCCAAAAGACACTAGTGCACATAGTTTAGGTACAAAATCTGATTGGGATTTCTTGCACGACAGACGGGGTTCAAATTTAGAGAAGTTTGAAAATATTCGAACACCTTCTGTGTCAAAGACGGTGATCCGGAGGGAAAAAGGAAGAACCATTGCCTGGTTGAAAACAACTTCTGATGTAAAAGCTCCTTCGCTTTGGTCTACGTTCTTCAGGCGTTTTCTTCTCAACATACCTAGAACGCATCTAAGCAGGTTTGAAGCTGGGACCAGGACGGTGGACATGGTCTCCACATTGCAGCGACAGTCGAGACGCTTACGCGTTAAGGAGCTCTTGTTGAAACCTGACAGCATTACTTTCAACGAAAAGAAAGGATTTCCTTGGCTTAAAGCTGGTAATAAAGTAGAAAAGAAAAAGGATAAATTCAAGGAAGATACAGCAACCACCAGAGGTAAACATTTGCAAATAACCAGCTTAGTACTAAAGAAAAAGTTGAAAAGTTCGATGTGGTCTGATCTGAAAAATGCGTCCCGGAGTTTATACAACTTTAAACATCAGTACACAAGAGCGACTTCTCCTCTAAGAAAGTCAAATATCTATAATTTATATTTAGCAAATCAACGTGATCGTCGATTGTTTTTCCTATTAAAAAGGGCCAGACAAATGTTGTTTGTCAGAATCCATGACCAAGAGGAACACGTCCGACATTTGAGGGAAATTCTTCAGGAAGAGAGGAAAATGACTGACAGTCTGGGTGTAAACATAAACAAGGTTACTCGCGGCCTGTCTCAATGTCTGCAGTGGCTTAGAGCTGTCCTTGACGGGGTTTCTCTGATGGGGGAGTACTTTAAAGGGAAGGATGTTATTTCTTATCTTGATAAAGGAAAGATATCTCGTGTGAACAATACCACAAGCTATACCCAGAAAGCTCTGCTACCTCTCCAAGTGAAAATAACTGTGTCCACAAACACTAGTTTTCCTATCCTCGAATATCTATTTCAAGTTTTTAACCACTTCTACAACGCCTTTATGTACGTCATTCGAGGAGCTCCAAAGGCTATTTTTGAAGCTTTGCAGAAGTACCAAAAATGGAACGGGTCACGAGAAAGGGATGCAGGCTATTCTGTAGAAACAGGTCGGTCTCATTATGAAGATCTACGTAATGAGACGAAGGACGCTGTCCAGAAAACGATACATTTAGCAATACACAATGCAGAGGAGTCACGTGGATCTCTTGGAACTGGAAGTAAGTCTTTATGGAGCAGATCGGACATAAAACCTTTATCTATGGATGTACTTGAAAGCCTTGGTAGAACATCTGTGAAAGCTAAAAGAGAAACGTCCGTCAAGCCAGCACCACAAGAGAACATGGTAGTTGAGCAAAGTGACATTTATTCTATAAATAAAAGAGGTGGGAGGCACTTGCTGTCGTACCCACAGCCGAGGCCGAACAACAAACAACACGCCAACACGAGACAGACCAAGCACGGGGGAGCTAGAAAGGACGATGAAATGACGAACGATTTTGATAAAGTCCCTCACCACATACCACCCGGATATTCGGATAGTCACCCAGGACGTCTTGCTGCACCTTATGAAGACAGCAGCAGGTATGAGTTGAGGCGTCGAATAAAAAACCGACATCGTCAGAACTTTTTTTTTGAGAAAAGCTCGAATATGAACCCGTTATCCAGGGATATTAGATTCGATCGCTCGCCGCTGCGTCAGTCAGAGCACAGGTCTAGAGCTACAGAAAGACAAAAGACTCACAGAGACAAACATAATTTACCGACCGTTACTTCAGAGCCACAAACGAATGATAAGGCCTATACAACAGATCAGAGGTATGGAACTGCCAGTAGAAAATGGTCCCATAGTGATATTACTGCGGATAAACTGAGAGGTAAACTCTTAGCCCTTTTAAAGATTTTACATAAGAAAAGATTACTGTCCAAGTCAGACAGAACTGTACTTTCTCGTCCCTTGGAAAAGGCTCACGACTCGAAAGAATCAAGCACCAACAAAGATCTCGGCAACGAAGAAAAGCTAGCTGATTCTACTTTATCAAACATTCTTGCTCGGAAAACCGAAAATCAAATGGATTTGGGATTAGGGTCAGGGGGATCGAAAGCAATAAGATTAACACAAGAGGAACGGGACCTTGGATTTCCATTCCATAGTTTCCGTCTCCAGCAAAATAAATTTCTGCACGCCGAACCAACCGAGGCGGACAGACAAGTGTTGCGCAACATAGAGCTTCTCACGCGCCGGGTGCTGGCAGCGGATGAGGACATCCCCACCACTATCGATGACGGCGGGGAAATCTACCAGACACACGATGAAGAGACTGTCAGCACCGTCACGGATACAAAAGGGGAAAGTGATGGAGCAGAAGACGGTGGCGGTGAAAATGGTGCTTTTTCCGACGAGTCAGATAAAGATAAAAATATTATGAAGTCGAAAAGAAGAAAACGACGTGAGGTTTTCGCCGGGGGACAGTCCTATTCTAACAGAGGCAAGAAAAATTCCACACTAAAGTCAAAACTGCGAGGTAAAACGCAAGTGGTAGAACCTAAAGCTGACCCCGGTAACAACCTTAAGAATTCAGTGTTTAAAAAAATTCATGAGGGCGTACCAGGGCTCCCCTCACGCCTGTCAAAATATTATGCAAACGAACGCGTCACTGGACGATCGGTGTCAGTCAAAAGTGTCTCTAGGCGTGAACGAGCGGCCGTTCAAGTCGACGTGGTGGACAGGTATGGGAACAAACTACGAGCGACCCATGAGGAACAAATGATGAATAACTTTTCGCAGAGGTGGGCCAAACTTCGACCTGGGCTAAAAAAAATGCAGCGCAACATTTCCAAAGGTCGAGAGAAGTTCGAAGAATCAGAGAGACAACTTGTCAGACTATTGAAAAAGGGAGACAAACTAGCAAACATGGTGTTGGTTTCGAATAAAAGAAGCAGAGTGGACGAGGCAATGAGGAAAGCGGCTTTCAAAAACGCAGAGACTGAGTTCCGAAGGTACAAAGCTGATCTCAAACTGCAACAGAGGAAGACAGAGGCGAAGGAATACGCGGCAATGACGGATGACATCTCCAAGAAGATCAGTCTTGTGAAGAACGTGCTGGCCAAACAGAGGGCGTATCAGGATGCCAAAGAGGAGACGGAGTTCGAGCTGGGACCATACGCGCCATTCAGCTTCGAAAACCGGAACGCCGTTTACAAGGTCAAAGGTCGAGACGGCCTCCATGATGATGACAGGTAGATCACTTAGTTGATTGCGGTAGTGGTTAGGAGTTCATGAACCTAATTAATTCTTTCTCTAAACTGATCACGTCCTCAACACAATGGTTGGAGCAACACAGTAAACAATAAGAGGAGAATAGGGGAAACGAAAGAAATTAGCTGTTTTTTGTTATTGTTGTTGTTGCTATTATTGTTGCTATTATTGCTGTTGTCGCTGTAGTTGTTGTTGTTGTTGTTGTTGTTGTTGTTGTTGTTGTTGTTGTTGCTGTTGTTTTGTCTTGTAATTTTTTTACGAATTCTGCCATTTTGTTGGTGATTTCTTATAAAAGTATCTTAGACCTGGGTAAACGTTGGTAATACCCTTCTTGTCCTTGATGCTGTTGCTGCTACAAACTGCTGCTGCTACTTTTGCTGTACTCATTATTACTATTGTGTAAGTGCTTCTGGTGACGCTGGTGTCTCTTTGCTTGCGTTTCTGTTTTGTTTTCTGTTGGTGTTTTTTTCTTGGCAGGAGGAGGTGGGGGTGGGGCTGTTCTTTTCTTTCATGTGTTTCAATAAGAATGAAAAAAGGACACTGGCTTAATAATTTAAATAACCATTAGAACTGTTTTTAAAAAAAGACTTTTGACACACATGCGCTAATGGCAGATAGGAAAATACAAAAGGGACTATAATGTATTACCTCAGCCACTAATTGAGACACAGAGTGTATCTCTTTTATGAATGAATGATGGGTTTAGTAATGCACATGTCTGGACAAAGTAAAGGGAGCGTGGGTGTAGGTCACGCATAGAAGAGATAGCGAGAGAGAGAGAGAGAGAGAGAGAGAGAGAGAGAGAGAGAGAGAGAGAGAGAGAGAGAGAGAGAGAGAGAAAGGGGAGATGGGTAGAAGTATATTATTGATGGAGTTTAACATCTTACTAGACTCAATATAATATTATGTTGAAAGCACAGATAGATAGATAGATAGATAGATAGATAGATAGATAGATAGATAGATAGATAGATAGATAGATAGATAGATATCGTTTTTGCCATAACTCATCCCCTATTTCCTCTTTGGCTCTTAAACAACTTTACCCCCCCCCCCTTTCCGCGAAATAAAACAGATACGTACTAGTAGACGAGGAAGGCGAGGTGGAACAGTTGGGGAGCGAGGATCAGGCCGTGAACAGGTTGGCAATTCTGTACGTCACTATTGACTCAGTTTATAACATGGCTTGTCAACCTTTTTAATCGCCAGTGCCCACTTTTGCCACTTTTAATTCAGTTTAACCCTTTAGTGCACGAGGTCCCAAATTTTTGTGTTATTTTCACATAAGCTTCCTTTCAGGTTGTAATGAAAGGTTCCACCAGTTTTTGTTCTTCAAAACGTATATTTTGCTATTAGGAACCAATTTAAATTTTGCCCAACCAGTTCGGCGTCATGAAACTTATGGGTACATGAAAATTTGAACACAGTAAGCTGGCAAAAAATCTAAACAGTAAGAATAACTGAAATTTTAATGACTTTTAATATTTCCAAACATCAAATATAGTCATGTGGTGTTACAAATTGAATGTAACAGACATTTTAAAACCGAGAAGATGAAATATTTTGACATTTACTGGCGATGGTGCGCCTAAATGCATTTCTCAAGCAGAGGGCAGGGGGCGTGTGTCGCATTCTTTTTTAGACTTTCTTTGTATTGTCCTTAGACAATCTGCATTTTTTATCTGAGTGAGTAAAACCTCACGCAACACATTCCTGCATCCTTTTTTAGTTTAGATCTAACAGTTTTTTTCAATTCTGCCCCGAGTGTGTTACCAACGGGCGGCTTTCCTGTATCTGAATATTCCGCCTGCGCGAGGGCCATACTTTGTTTTAAAAAACCCAAGACACTCCAGGGGGTTGACTACGGCAGCTCAAGATCGTCTTTTACGTAATTAGTTTTTGCTTAATTAATTGAAGTAGATTTTGTGGTCCAATGGAAACCGTTTAGATCAATTAGGAGGCGGGCTTCATCCTGCCGGTGACGGCCAACCAAGGCTGAGAGACACACAACGTTCCAGCACAAAGACCTTGATACTCTATAAAAATTCTCCCTACACGGAAATCAAGCTCACATTCTTTTGTGTGCAACAGCAAAACACCTGACGAATACACCACAGCTGCATGTGTTGGTCGTCTATGCACGATCCATGCATTGTCATCAAGCTGCTGATGAAAATTGGCCACCACCACTTTTTCGTAGGGGTGTTGATCCTCTAATTGGCAATGTTCTGGTCCATATAATCAGTTCCTCCAATCAATTTTGTGATACTGTGTATGTTGTGGATGTGAAAAATTAAATCACCATCAAGAAAAAACACACAAGAACACAGGATCCATCGTTTCCGTACTTCTGTTCTTCAGGTTTATCTGAAGAATTATTGATTTTTGAGTAAGTATCTCAGCAGTTGTGATCACTATAATATTCTCCCAAAAGTGGAAGGGCACCACAGAAAGTGTGTAAGGTTGAAGAGCATTGAGCATTCAGTTGTCTCAGCATTTTCACTAGTACTATCTTAATCTGTATTTCCGTATTGGTAGTTTGTTCGCAGGATCTAATATTTATTACATCTGCAGGACTTAACTAGTTGTTGCTTTGAATTTGGGGTACATGTATCCCCCTCATTTACAGTGTACAATCTTCAGATAAAAATAGGATAAACAATTGGTTAAATATTTTTTAAAAGAGTTGCGAAAGCCCCACCTCTTTGGTTTACTTACCTACAGTTTTATGAGTTCCAATAACATTAGACCAATTTCAATTCTTCTACAACCACAAAACAAAATCACAAAATAAACCCCAAAACAATAGAATATGTACCAGAAATTTAAACAATATCTATATCAGCTTATTATAGCATAACACTATTTCAAGATTCGTAGTGTAGCTATGACTTTTTAAAAGAGTTTCCAATTGATCACAACAAATGAATACACACACCTCTGCACACCCCCCCCGCCCCCCTCCCAGCCGCCCAAAATCGTCTGTATCCATCAATAAATCATTTTAAAAATGCATTTTCAGAATAGCAAGTAAGAATCAAATGTGTAAATCAATATATCAGAACCTGATAAACAACCCGACTTACAGGATACAACCAATAAAAGTAAAAACCACACTATAACTAAGTATATTGTTACTTGACATAATATAGATTTTTGACGTACCCATTCGTGCATGGTGCCCAACTAATTGGGCTGCATACCACACCATGAGAAACGTGATTTTGAGAAAGGAAAAAAAAAGACCGGGAGGCGTAAAACCTAGTGACGGGTAAGGGGGAATTGTTTGAAGATTTAAAATATAGAAGGACTTTGCAAATTTGTGCAAAGGCAAAAGTGTATTTTTGGGCTTATTTTTCAAAAGGGGGTTGATTTTTATAGCTCTCACTGATGATGTCGACGCCATATTGGATATCATCAAGGAAAGGAAAATCACTCTAGCGAGTAAAAATGTTCTGTAGCACAAAAATCAATTGTCCCTCCATCATTTGGTATCAAAACATTTTGATTCATGCAGTTATTTGTCAGACTGGGGGCATTCAAACACAGCGTCCAAGTAGTTGGGCGCTATGCATAAATGGGTTAAGAAACTTTTTTTTGTGTGTTCCGCCCACACACATGTACTTCCTAGCAGGAGGTAAAATTTAAACAACCCATTATACTTTTACCAACTAGGTGATCACTATTACCTACAGGAATTTAATAACGATATCGCCCAGTTTGACAAGCACGGATTTAGACCAGAATTACATAATCAGGCTGCATCGGGCAATTCAGGATACTGCATCATAACAGATAGACGGGGACTCGATGAAATGCACATACCTTTCGTATCTTCATGTTTATTTTTGTTTGGTTTATTCAGTATTTTCACAAAATCAAACTCATATCTTTGCACGTAGGACTGTTGGTCTCACAGTTACAACGCTTGGCCCATACTTTCTTTAAGTATTCCCTCGCCTATAACATAATGGTGAGGTTAATATACCTCTCTATGTCTTCCTGTCACACTTCCTCTCTCCCTCTCTCTCTTTCTCTCTCTCTCTCTCTCTCTCTCTCTCTCTCTCTCTCTCTCTTTCTCTCTCTCTTTTTCTCTCTCCCTCTGTGTGTGTGCGAGTGTGTGTTTGCCTGTGTGTATTCGTGTGTGAGAGAGTGAGAGATTATGTGCGTGTTTGTGCTTCTTTGCGCTTTTGTCTCTTTG